TCGCAGCCCTTCTATCAATGACAGCCTGTCTCAATTTGGCAGGATGGGACTCAACAGTGCGATTGGCAGACAGCCGTCTGGCGAAAACTTCAACGGCAGGTTGACAATCGGTGTACATGGAAACACAATCAATCAACCCCGACCAAGCGCCGTATTTCCACCAAACCTTAGCGTACCCCAAGATGAAGGCTCTCAGCGTGACGCCGACCAAGCGATAAACGAGTTTCCTAGTCTGCGGACCGACCGACAAGCTGGTCGCGCAGTGGACGAGACTCCAAGGATGTCTCTGCCCACTCGCTCTTCCCCATCAAGCTCTTCCTCTAGAGATCTGCTCCGTTACGCGGCTCAGAACCAGGCTGGTCAATCGAATCGTATGACAGCTGCTTCGCAGCCCAAACGCTCTGCACGCGCTATCCACATCCAGACTACAGACGGCGAGACAGTCAACTTCGTTCCCCAGGTAGCTAAGGAGAAGAAAGAAGAGCAGAAGGAACCTCACGTGGAACCCTCTCGTCTCACTTCAACAGACCATGACGCAGCTGCTGGTCCTCTTATCACCGGAACTACAGCGAATACAGACATGGAAGCCCGTATCAAAGCGCTAGAAGACCAACAGAACGACACCCGCGCCATGGTCGACGCCATGAACCAACTCTACATCAGTCTCAAAGACTCCGTCAACCATCTGCAGTATCAAAACACACTGCAGCAAGTTCGCCCACAGATACCCGATGCGTCATCTGCAGATTCGCACGCCCCTGCAGTTGATGGGTCCTCCTATGTGCCCCTTCAGGGTAATCTTTCCGACGACGAGTTCTCATACATGCTCAAGATGTTTGCTGGTAAGACGATTACTGCAGACCACTGGGAGAATGTGGTATGGAGCTTCTACGGCCAGAACGCGGCGAATGCCCATAACCCGGACCAGGGTCAGAACCAGACCCCATTTACAGATGAGTATGTGAACGAGGCTGCGGTCAAAGGTGAGGATGGGGACAAGGATGTGGGTGATGACGACCCCTAAGACGCAGAGGCGACGCTAGTATGATGGTGATAGCGGGATAGCTGGGATATGATATGTGCTGTCTGATCGTGTGGACACAGTGTAGTGAGAGCTTCTAGTCCCATTTTGTTTTGTCGGAGCAGGAGAAAATGTAGTGGGCTGGAAGATGTCAGTCCTCGTTCGAAGTATCTACGTCCTACTGCTAGACCACTGGATACATAAAGCTCACCTCTACTGGTCACTAATAACCTAATCTAAACCAATGTATAACTCAACTCACCTCACCTATGATCAACATTGATAAACCTCAGCTTCTTACTGTAGTCTTCAGCTAGTACTGGTGACAAGTTCAGCAGGGTCTGACTATACGAGAGTGCTTTGCTTTCACTGCAGCGTATTGAGACCACGGTGAGTCCGATTTCCAGTTCCGATGGCCATACAAGGCCCATTGCTAGTCTGCTCGCACTGCCACCTCCTCTTTCACTGTTTCACACCATGCAAACGAATTGATAACGCCTCGCATCCGCTCTCTCATCTTTTCCGCTGCGGTAACAGCTCACTGAAGACTTTGTGATGATTTCAGTCAACTATATATTGTAGTTAATTCTACGATTCTCCATCATCCTGTCGTCTGTTATGGTCGCCACAGCGTAACCATCCTCCTCGCTATGAGCGAATTGAAGGCCATTAACCTGAGTTCGAGTCTCAGAACAGCCACTTGACAAGTAGGGAGGCCCAGTTGCCGCAGAACCTGCGAGAGTCAAGTCCGATAACAGCAAGATGCTGAGGTTGTACATTTATTTTTGCTTTCATGCTTTTCTTTTTGCCTTCGCTAAAAATTTTACGGCCTTGCTTCTTTGTGTATACAACCTCACACAATGTCCGTACACGTGAGTTTATACTTTTGACGCAGACACAGAAGATCAACTAGTTTTTTTATAGGGCATTATTCATACACTTCATTCATGTACTGTCAAATCTAGATCTTCATGTCATCCAGAGCAGCTTCCAGATCGATAATCTCCTTCCCCTTACTACTACCCGCACCCTTCCTCTCTCTATACTGCTTAGCCACAGCCTCCATCACCTTGCCCATCTGCGCATCCTTGCCCGCTGCCTCAAGTTCCTTCTTGACACGCGCAAAGTTGGCTTTGACAAAGATCTGGTATTCGCTCTTCTCTCTCCTGCCGTCCTTGCCCACAGCAGCACCGGCGCCAACGCCCCTAGGGGTGGGCTTGGTCTGCGCGAGCTTGCCCTTGCACTTTCCACACGAGTGGCGCGCAGGGTCGACGGACTTGGAGTGACGCTTGAACTCGTAGCCGCAGGAGACGCACTCCCAAACGTACTTGTATTCGATCTGATAAGAGTGCTTTGTGGTGACCTCGACTCCTTTGCTCGCGAACGCAACGGTAGCTTTGCGACCCCACGACTTGAATTCTGCTCCGTGGGGGTTGTTGCGGACTTCGCTGATCATGAACGTGGTCAGGTGGCAGAACTCGTGCGCGAGTACGTTGTAGAGCCTCTCCTCGTCATCGATGACCTTCTCGGCGAGTTCGATGGAGCAGTGGTGTCTAATCTCAACGCGCGTGTCGGTGGGTAGAGGACCGGTTCGGATGCGTATTTGCTCTCTACGCCAATTCGCACGACCGGCCGTTGTTTTGAGGGTCTTTGACCAGACGAGCTTGATACCACCTGTGGGTTTCGAGAGCTCGTGGATGCGACCTGAAGAGATTGTGGTGTCGAGCTCGATGAGGAAGGCTTCGGCTATGGCGTGCTTGCGTTCGGCGAAGGCTTTGCGTTGCTCACGGATCTGCTTGACATTCGGGATCGGCTCGGTCTCTGGTGTCTTCTCCTTAGCTGGTTTCCGACTTGTGGGCTTCTTCTTCTTGGGACTCTCGATGGGACTTTCGTAACCCTCGTCACTGCTGTCTTCCAGAGCAACACCTTCCATCATCTTGACTATGTCGTCCCTCCATTTCTGCTTCTTGGGCGACACGAGCTGCTTAGCTGGCGAGTGGCGGTCGGTCCAGTCGTTTACAGCTGCAGGATTCCAGAACGCGTCAAGACTTGGTCTTCCGTCTAAATCGGCCGCCTTGGGGATCACGGGCTTCTTTTTCGAGGGCGAGACGAGCTTGGTGGGACTGGGAGGTGCCAGGGGAGGAGTGGCTGGTCGCGAGATGGGCGGAGCTTTGCGGGGCGAGCGTTGCTTGGTAGGTGTGGGCGAATACGTAAGAATCGCAAGCGGACCGTTCGATGCTGAGCTAGTAGGCCGAGAAGATGCTGCGAAAGAACTTGATCGGGCGTGGGTACGTTCAGGAAGCACGAAAGATTCCGGGGCCTCCGGCGAGTCGGTGAGGTCGACGACTTCCTGCGCCCAATTCGATATTGTGCTATGACCCTTTCGATGTGGCGGTCGCATGGAAGTCAGATCAGTCGGCGGTTTGAGTTCGGGAATCTTGAAGATTGGTTGCGGAGGCTGCTTGGTAGGCTGTGGTGCGCTTAGCTCACTCTCGTCCTCTTCGCTGTCAGATACGACGCGCCGTGCGCGCGGTTGTCGCTGGTTTGTTCGCGACTTTACAACAGGCTCGTCCTCTTCATCATCCTCGCTGATCTCGATGACTGGTTCAGCGACCTCTTCTTGTGTCTCTGCTTCCTCATCGCCACACCACAGACTTGTTTCGGCCTCGGCGTCCTCGTCGTCTTGCGCGACTGCCTCCTCTGTGCTCTCGTGTTCCCTACTTCGTGACCGCTGGGCGGCCTCTTGTGCCTCGACTTCCCCTACGACATTGATCTTGCCTTTCTTATTCCGCTTGTTCACCACGCTTCTAGCCAGGCTTTTGGCATACATAAGCCCATTCCTATTCCCCACATCCGTATCTGTTGTTCCACTGCGCACCCTCCTCTCTCTTTGTTTCTTCTCTGGGCTTGCCAGGCTTTCGTCACTCAATTTTCGAAGGAGTCGGCTGTTGCTCTCGACCGGTCGCAACACTCGTTGTTTGCGGGGGCTGATCGCATCCTTGGGCGTTGCAATCGATGGTATGCGGAAGGAGTGCTCTTCGTCTTGCGATATGCTGATGTCTTGCGCGGTGCGCCTCGACCTCTTTGGCACAAGTATCGAGCTGTCATCTTCTTGCGATGATGCGTATCGCAGTGTGGCTTTTCGAGGACTGGATCGGCTTGCTCTCGTCTCGGACGGCGGCATAAAGATACTGGGTTCGTTCGGGCTTGGTTTGCGTAGACGCGCCATGATGAGGTGATGTGATATGCAATCTTGTAATATGTAAGGATATTCAAGCCGTTGTGTGTGCGATTGGTTCCAAGAATGTTGCTGGCGCAAGGATATCCAGACGTTGGAAGAACTGCCGAGCGTGTTTGTTGTCGGCCGTTGTCCCGGCGACTAGCGGGAACGGGTCCAGGATCCACTCGCACGTTTGCGACGGTATCGTGCACCGTGCCTCAGCCTGTGCGCGTCATCCTCAGTCGCGCACCGTGTGAATGTCATAATGTAGACTCAAGTTCTAGGAGTAGCCGGGGCGAATACATGCAAGTTTTGTTAGTTGTACAAAACGATAAGACGTACCCTGGAGGTATTTGCAGCAGTTGCCGATTACAGCACACGGGCAAAAATCGCAATGTATACTTCATTGTGCCTCATGTCTTTGCGTACGCAAACAAAAGAACCACACGTCTTCGCCAGCGACATCTCAGATCGTCACTCACATCACAGCAGATACAGATTGTAACAAGAAAAAATCAGTCATACATTGCATGCTAATCATCACAAATACAAGCAAACCCAACTACTTTGAGCCCGAAAGATCGACCCAGGAGCCGTTACTGCTGCGCCCGTCTGCGGACGCCCAGCTCTCTCTTCATATTTCTGCCCCACCCCTGATTTGACTTTCATCCCCAATCGTGAAGCATTTGCGGGGTATTCCGTCCTCCGTATTTACATCCCCGGTGGTGATTGTTTTCGTTCGTTTTCTCTTCTGTGCATCTACTGCTTGGCGTTCTTGGCCATGGTGTTAAGAGCGCTGCCGTTCTTGAACCACTCGATCTGGCCCTCGTTGAAGGTGTGCGAGAGCTTGACCTGGAAGTCCTTGGATCCATCGGCGGGGTGAACGGTCATGGTCAAGGGCTTGCCGGGGGCGAGCTCAGTGGATGCCAACGTCACACGGTCGTTGGGGCCAATCTTGTCGTAGTCGGCAGGGTCGGAGAAGGTAAGGGGAAGCATACCCTGCTTCTTCAAGTTGGTCTCGTGGATACGAGCGAAGGAGCGGGTGATGATGGCAGCGCCACCCAAGTGCCTGGGCTCAAGCGCAGCATGCTCACGGGAAGAACCCTCTCCGTAGTTGTAATCGCCGCTGATTTTGGGTTAGCAATGCATAGAATGAACAGCTCGCATGGTAGGTACTTACATAACGACCCACGGAACACCGTTCTTCTTGTAGTTGCGGGCGACATCGGGAACGGCACCGTAAGATCCGTCGAGAAGGTTCTTGACCTTGTTGGCCTCGCCGTTCTCAGCATTGATGGCACCGATCAACATGTTGTTGGAGATGTTGTCAAGATGTCCGCGGTACTTCAACCAAGGGCCGGCCATGGAGATGTGGTCGGTGGTAGTTTTGCCTTGGCCTGCAGGTGCTTGTCAGTAAACGTCTCTAATTGAACTGTTGTGAGGCATTACGTACACTTGATCAAGATTGGCAGGTTCTTCGCATCCTGGCCGTTCCAGGCCTCAAAAGGTTCGAGAAGCTGAAGACGGTCCGAAGTAGGCGAGACAGCGACGGAGACGGATGAGCGGTCTTCGGGTGGCGCTTGATAGGTGTCTTGACCAGGGTCGTAGCCTCGGGTGGGAAGACCGTTGCCGGTGGGTGCCTTGAGCTTGAACTTCTTGCCATCCGATCCCAAAAGCTCATCGGTGAGTGGATTGAAGCTAAGAGTACCAGCAATGGTCATGGCAACGACAAGGTCTGGAGAGGTAACGAAGGAGTGAGTGGCGGGGTTGGCGTCGTTACGTCCAGTGAAGTTGCGGTTGTACGACGAGATGATCGAGTTGGCCTCGCCCTTCTTGACATCCTTGCGGTCCTAGAGACGAAAAGTTAGTATGGCAGCGACAATAGTGTGGGGTAAAGGGAAGGAAGGGAAAGGAGTGGATGTAGTCTTCGAACATACCCATTGACCTGCGACAATGTTAGCAAAAGACCTATCAAAATGTGAAAATGACAGTGAAGCCTGGAAGTATTCACAAGGATCTGAAGCATCAATGATCGAGAGAGCAGCCAATGTAGTCGCTAAGGTGGATTCCGGGTCGTCGAGAAGAGTAGCCGCGGGAGTGGTCGTGTAGTCGGTAACACCCATTCTGTCATCGCATGCACCGTCTAAACCATGCATGAAGCCGCCAGCCAGGTCGTCGTCGTCATCATCCGAATCGACCATGTTGATTCGAACAGCTCTCCGCCTTGTTGGGCGAATGACATCTGACCCATCCGAGTCCTCGCCATCGCTGTCAGCGACGAGGCCGGGAGTCGACATCGCTGCGGCAGGGCGCTTGTTGCGATGGATGACGTTCATGTCGGCGGCAGGGACTTGGGTAGGCTGGGGCTTGAAGTAGGACATAATCGAGTTGGTGCGAGGTCCAGACGTTACGGAAGGCTTAGCTGGGACAAGATCGCCATTGGCGATCACGGTGGCAGTCGCTCTAGGTTTGGCGTAATGGACGGTGTATTCGAGGGCGTCGAATACAGGCTCTTTTGGGGGATGGACAGTGTCCATGTCCTCTCCGTCCTCATCCTGATTGAGAGGCTCAATGGGGGCAGCCTTATCGCTAGTTTCGAGTCCGGCGAGGATGCGCGCCTGACGGACGGTGTCCATTTGCTTGGCATTGAGCGGCTTAATGGGGAGACCCTTTGCGTCAAGAGTGATGCCAAAGTCGGCGGCATTACGCTTATGCCTCTTGGTCTGGTTGTGGGATATCACACTGCTCGGGTCTCGGAAGGGCTTCAGAGGACAAATCTGGCAGACATGGCGACCGGTAGCTCTAGCCTTGTCACGCGACTTCTTGTTCCACTTTGCGGACTTCGGTTCAACGTAGACGGCAGCAACCTTCTGTTTGTGAGGTGTAGTCTCGTTGTGCTGCTCTTCAAGTGCCTTCCTTGACCCAGCGGCGAACTTGCAGATGTCACACCAGAATCGCTTGGCGGCTTTGTTGGCGTGGTAGACAGCGCGTTCCGTGGCACGGGGATTGCTAGCCTCGAAGCCTTCACCTCTGGTATCACTACGGACACCTTCAGCAAGAGGAGAGTGAGAGTTCAGCGGGTCCCATTCGAGGTCGTCGATATCCCAGCGGCACAGATAGATGAGACCAGAGTCGTGGCCTCCCGGAATCATTGTACCGAAGGCAAACGTCATTACAGCCTCTATTGACTTGAACAGAGTACGGTATGCCAAGATCTGTAGCTTCGGTGGGCGGGGCATGGTGACAAGAACGCCATATGATGTGATGTGATAGCCAGCATTGAGAGCTGCCTCAACATATACGGGAATACCGACGCGATTACGGTAGCCAGAGAATCGAGCACCGACACCAAGCTCAGCGTTGGTCGCAGAACCGACGTAGCATAGTGGACGGCAGCCGGGTTTCTCGAGGACCAAGAGGTAGACGGCCCAATCCTTGGAGGCACTGGTAGGAAGGGACTTGAGGAATGCGAGTGTGGGTGGCGTTGCGGAGTTGAGCGCCTCAAATAGGCCGGGAGCATACGTGAGCGTTACGGACGAGAGAAGTTGTTGGATAACAGACAGGTTGACGAGGCTGGAGGTGAAATTGATCGTCTTCCGCTTCGATGGCGTCGATTGTAGGCATTGCCATATGAGATGAGCCATCAGTACGGACATCGTGAGGGCATCGAAGAGCAGCATGGTGAGGTGAGGCAGGCGCCACTGGCGATTGGCGGCCTCAATGCACCGTGTAATGAGAGCTGGTGAGTGCAGCTGGGAAGCGAGGGGCTCGATTCCGATCAGGAAGGCGATGGACAGTGTCCAAAGGTAAGGGCAGCAGCGGATGGGTATCGGGCAGTGGTCGCTATGGGGTGCAGACGCTGGCTGCCGGAATGTAGTGAGACGGAAGCTTGTGAAGGAATGATGGAGAGCAGCGGAGGGGAGGTGGGCTTCAGTGTGTGTTGATGTCGCTTAACTGTTATGGCAGGCGCTCTGGGTGCCACCGGCACCAGCATTCCGTGTTGTTGTGGAAGGAGCTGCCCGGAGGAAGGAGCCAACCCATCAAACCTGACATGCCTGCAGCATACATCAAGCTGAAAACTTGCAAAATCGGTGTCCTCAAGTCAACGTAGGCTCCCGGGTGATCAAAATTCTCCAATGTAGAGCGTGAGGGCAGGCGCGACGGCAATCCAGGCTGTATTGGACGCCGTCCAAGACGTCCTGCCCTCTTAGCTCAAATGAGCGGCTCATTACTGAGGTGTAGAAATCGACCACGTCGATTGTGTGACCGACGCGCATCCTGTAGGGTATATGCGACAGTAACATTGGGAAGTGTCCGACTGCATGCGATGTTAGCTATGTGCATGAGAACTGAGTGCGGCAGACATACCAAGTAGGCGCATAAACGCCACTGGCGATGAGGTCGCATGGGCATAGAGCGGAGCTTTGGGGGTAAAGAGCTCACATGCCAAGCGTCACATGTCGGAGTTGGGCATCAAGGTAAGTCCAGGTAAGTCCGGATGAGTCCAGGTTCCAGGCTCCAGGATGTCCGGGTAAGTCCAGACGGTGATCACGATGCTTCAGATACTCACGAATACAAACCTTGAGATGGGAGGGGGAAAGTAGAGCCTGGAGGACCTCGCCACACTCAAAGTACTCAAAAGCCTCTGGAAAAGTGCGCGAAGGCCTTCAGGCTCTACTATGGGAAAGAGAGAATAGGATACATACCGATGCCTAAAGGGAGTTAGCAAATCTCTCACAACAGTTCATATAGGGATGTTACTGACAAGGACCGCAGGCCTATAGAAATAGGAAGTTAGTTATGTCTCATATGCAGTTCGTACAGTCAAAACTTACGTTTGCGAGAACCATACCACCAAACTCTTCAAAGGTCTTAAGCTGACCGTCACGCTCGATGGTCGCGCGGATCTGCTCAGAACCAGGGGTGACGGTGAAGAGAGACTTGGCCTTGACGCCGTGAGCCATGGCATCCTCGGCAATAGAGGCGGCACGGCTCATGTCCTCGTACGAAGAGTTGGTGCAGGAACCGATGAGACCGACCTTGAGGTCCTCAGGCCACTTGTTGGCCTTGACGGCCTCCTTGAACTTGCTGATGGGTGTAGCTAGATCGGGGGTGAAGGGACCGTTGATATGGGGCTCAAGCTCGTCGAGGTTGATCTCGATAAGTTCATCATATTCGGCACCCTCATCCTCGCGAAGCTGAGCGGCGTACTCGCGAGAGAAGTCGCCAATGTCACGACGCTTGGTGGCTGCGAGGTAATCGTACATGCGATCGTTGAAAGGGAAAAGCGAGGTCGTTGCACCGATTTCTGCGCCCATGTTGCAAATCGTAGCCTGTAGGGGAGGTACGAAGTCAGTATATGTCTCACATGCACTTCGTAGTCAACACTTACCATGCCGGTGCAGGACAAGCTTTCGGTACCGGGTCCGTGGTATTCGACGATAGCACCGGTTCCACCCTTGACGGTGAGGATACCAGCGACCTTAAGGATGATGTCTGTAGACTACGTTAGCGTGGTTGCCCCGCTTCGAAAACCAATATTGCGAATACGTACCCTTGGGAGCAGTCCAGCCGGAGAGCTTGCCAGTGAGCTTAACACCAATGACCTTGGGTGCCTTCAGTTCCCAGGGGAGACCGGCCATGACATCGACAGCGTCAGCACCACCGACACCAATGGCGGCCATACCGAGACCACCGGCGTTGGGAGTGTGGGAGTCGGTACCAATGAGGAGAGCACCAGGGAAAGCGTAGTTCTCAAGCACGATCTGGTGAATGATACCAGAGCCGGGCTTCCAGAAACCAATGTTGTACTTTGCGCAAGAGGTGGACAAGAAGTTGTAGACCTCCTTGTTGATCTCGTTGGCGCGCTCCAAATCCTTCTCACCACCAACCTGGGCCTCGATAAGATGATCGCAGTGGACGGTAGTGGGTGTGGCAACGGAGGGCAGACCAGCTGACATGAACTGAAGAATGGCCATCTGGGCGGTGGCATCCTGGCAAGCTACACGGTCGGGGCGGAGCTTGAGGTAGCTGGAGCCGCGCTCAATCTCTTGGCCGTGGGGGTCGTCCAAGTGGGAGTAGAGAATCTTCTCGGCGAAAGTAAGCGGGCGGTTCAAGCGGGCACGAACAATCTCGAGGTTCTCGTTCATCTTCTGGTAGTTGATGTAGTGGCCCTTCTCCCAGTTGGTCATCTCGACCTTGCGGGAGAGGGGAGCATCGCTGACGGTGGCCAATTGCCTGCGCGAAGCAAGGCTCTGGCCCAGGCGGCCGAGCCTCGAGAACTTCTGCATGGTGAAGTTTGAGGAGGGGAGTGGTGTGGAGAGAAGAGTGATGGAGGAAGCGGAGGAAAAGAACGTCAGAAGCTGCCTCAAGTTGGGCGATAACTAATGAGGATCACGAGGGGCGTGATTGGTTCGTCTAGCCCCAGCTGCGTGCGGAATACCTCGGCGCCAGAACCAGAAACAGGTCGGCAGCGTAGTCCCGTTGGCCCGCTTCACGTGCAAGGGCGATGTAATGGAGACGCAATTATGGAGAGAGTAATTGCGCTGTGTGCGACTGGCTGCCCGCTGCTATTTCACGTCTTGGAGGCCGCGCAGCCATGTGTCGGGAAGCTATAGGTGTTCACCCAGACGTCATAGCCGGCAGCGGTTCACCAACCCCGCGCTCGTTCCTTTTGCAGGTGATTGGCGTTCTGCGATAGCACATTCACGCGCGCACTGCTGCCGGCGGCCTGCGCGTCCTTTTCCGACTCAACAATTGTGTGCCGAGTCAGCGCGCAGGCCTGCAGACATGGCAAATTTCGGGTCTGGAGCGACAGTAGCATCTACCAGCACCTGATTCGACCTAGCTCCACAAGTCTTTCTGACCTGCAGACCGGGCACGGGCCCCCGTCGGCAGGTGTCCCCACACTGCAACTTTCTCTATAGCCGACCATCACGATTCCACACGGATAACCGACGGCCGCGGATACTGCCCACCATGCCAGCCATACGCGGACAAGACTCCAAGAAGAAGACACGTCGACACACGCGCGACCTCGACCAGATCCACGCCGACCTGCGCGACGAGAAGCATCTTGCGGAATTCAAGGATGCGAAGCCCATAGAAGATTTGCCCGGCCTGGGCGAATTCTACTGCAAGGAATGCGCAAAGTTTTTTGAGAGCGACGCCAACTTTGTCGCACATCAGAAGGGCAAGGTTCATAAGCGCAGGTAGGAATCGCAGTGTTTACGATTATAATGATTGGTTCTAATCAGTCTGCAGAGTCAAGCAACTTCGCGAAGAACCATACTCGCAGAAAGAAGCAGAGGCAGCGATAGGCCTTACGACCAACAACGGAACGCGCACGACCACCGCGACAGCCCCGATGGAAGTTGATCAGGTTGCAGCATCAGGTTGAGGTCACGGCAACGGCCAAGACTATCCGATGTGCAGTCCACGGCAGATGGACGCCAGGATTAGGAGTGCAGGACGACCACTGAAATGCTTTCGGGGGATCAGACATCACTCCGGTGGCAACACGATAGCTACGGTTAGGACGCCCTCGGGCTCGTAGAAGAACATGCATTGCACGGCGTTCAAAACTGGCATTTGGGACATATAGAAGGACAAAAAAGTTCAGACGATACCCTACATTTCAAATCGAAAACATATGTTTCCAAGATCTCATGACCTTATCACAGTGACTTCATGTCTTGCCAGCAAAACCAACGGTATTATTTGGCCGCTGTGTTAAATCTATGTTGTAAAAAGAATGATTTTATTCAGTATTGACAGACTGCACATTGAACTATGCCTACGCAAATACTTCACAGCAATCTGTTTGAACTACTGCGCTGTTACTGCGGTGTCAAGAAAATTCGAGGTAGGTTGCCATTTTCCATGCTGCCTGATGTTGCCTGGTGGCTACCTACGCTTTCGCCATCACCAACATCAAAGTCACAACATAAGAACGACATTAACCCCAGCGGAGAGTGCAACAAGTCGAGCCTGAGATACAGTACAACATGGCATTTACAAATACCCCCCTCTATGGCGGCGCAATAACCCTCGACCTGCCCTCAAACTTCGCCGACGCCTCGTAAGTTCTCTCAATCTGCGCGCCCCCACATCCCGCGCCTTCCCTTTGCATGCGTTCCATCAACACCACCACTCCAAATGCCTAATTTGGCAAGACCGGCTCTCCCCGAAAGTAGCATACTGAAAAAATAACTCGATAGTCAAATCCGCCAAATTCCCGATCATCAAGAAGTCTACCTCGACAACAACGGCTACTCCAGCATCGTCGTCGAGATACTAGAGTATGTCGAGAAGAACAGCGATGAAGAAGCGCTGCAATACCACTTCGGAGATTTAGTCGAGGGGACTGGAGATCAGAGTACGATTATCTCTCAAGAACGTGCTGTGATGAAGAGTTTGCCGTAAGTACTATCTAATACCGCGCAGAGACGAGGTGAACTCATATATGAGGAGAGAATTAACAATGGAGAGATCTCTGTGAGCTCAAGACTGACTGTGATTACAGAGACAAGCCAGTCCTAGTACTATCCTTCATCCAAACACCACCAACACCCAACCCTCACCCCAACCGCAAGACACCCGAATTCACGTATATTCACCTCCTTCTTCTCCGCCTCAAGGAGCAAGGCACTGATGTATGTATACCTCTTCTTTCCAGACATCTACAGTTTATCCCATTGTTGGCTAACACTTCTCGCAGGTCATGGTATCAGTCAACATCCCACACTACCCAGGCGAATACACGCCAGCGGAACAGCAGGGTGGAGAAACGCAGTTGATGAAGGATAGCAAGGCGGTCAAGGAGCAGGTTTTGGAGAGCTTCCAAGTGAAGGAGTGGGGGCTGTTTGAGGGTTAAATGGGAAGAGGATGAGGATGAGGTTATCCGAAGATGTTTGATTTGGAGTGGAAGGAAAGAATTAGGTCGACATATGTAAGAGGGGGACTTTCGAAACACATAAAGTGAGAGGGGTAAGATGTGAGCCGGCGATTTTGATGGGAGAGCCGCAGATATGTAGCCATTAGCTTAGATACTGTCAGACAGCAATTAAGATCAACTCAAGTAAACCACAGTCATCGACTTACCAACCCACCAACGTACACACCCAAAGTTCTTCGCGAAAAGACTTTAAATTCGAGCGCGAGCCCACAAGATCAACTCAAGTAGACACCATCACATGTATGATTCAAATCTACCAGAGTTTTGCAATGATTTCATCGTTGTGCTACTTGCATCATCGGAAACTCCGTTATATCCTGGGTATGATCCTCCACGTATTCTCCTGCGGCTTCTTCATACACATTTCCCATCGCCTACATGCCTGGTATCACTGATATACTCACCTTCGCCATACGCTGGTGAGTTCAACACTTCACCCAACAACACTACATCTACTCACTCATACTGGCTCACACGGTTCAACCTCCTACGCATCTCCTCTCCCGCAGTGGGTGCCCGCTCATCTAGACTTGGGTCAAGACTCATGCGCTGGCGATCAAGCTCCCCCGGATGAGGTACGCCATTCGCCTGAGCTGCAAGGAACGGTGATGGCGGAAGATCGGCAAGGTTGGTATTAGGCTGTAAACCATGCATGAGTGCGGGATCGACTGGCAGGTCGTAGCCGTTATCTTGGGCGTACTGCGGATAGATTGCGCTCTGGTGCTGTGCGGCTTCGAGCTGTAGCTGGCCACCCGGTGAGTCTGAACGAGGCGGTGGTTGTGTTGGTGAGAACAGACTTGGCGGAGTTGGTGTCAGAGTTGGCTGGGTAGTGGTTGATGACAGGAAACTGGATCCTGACCTCGCCTCTGCCCGTGCTTGATTCTGACCCTGGCGCATAGCCGACAGGCCCTTGTTCATCTCGCTACATTCTGGACAGTTGCGAATGACCTGACTGACAGTCTCCTTTATGCGGACCCAATGGTAGAGTTCCGCAATCGCTGCAGTAGTCTTGTTGATGCCCCCGTGTGACTTGTGATGTATCTCCCGAGCGATCTCATACTGCTGCTTGGGATCCGCAATAACTTCCTTGCCCTTGAGCCACAGCTTCTCAGGTCCATCGCCCTCTCCGGGTGTGAGTTTGTAGTGCGTCGCCGCGCTACGGAGACGGCTCTTTTCTGCTCGATCAGCACCGTTGGGGTATTTTCCGTTCTTGAGATAGAAGCGAATCTTGTCGAAGCGCTCCTCAGACACAAACTCGTCGTCCTGACCCAGATCCCTTCCGTATATGATGGCATCGACAAGCTCGCCGGGATATGACTTCAGGTTACCGCAACCCTTCACGCGACCGATCCGCTTGAAGCCGAGGGCGTCCCATATGCGACAGGAAGCGACATTGGTTTCGTACACGAGGTTGAAGACGGAGTAGGTATAGCCCTGAGCGTGTTAGCGCATTCGATGCAACTCTCACGGCGGTCTCACAAGCTTCGGAGCCCAGTCCAGATAAGTCTCGCCCATCAAGCGACCGACACCCCGATTGCGCGACGCATCCGTGACTAGGAACCCGCCGTTGCAGACATGACTCGAGCGTCCTGGGTAGTTGGGCTTGATGTAGAAGCTACCCAGACATTCCCTCTCCCAATCACAACCCCTCCGCGCCATCTCATGTAGTTCGCGACCGTCCTGGATCTCTCCTAGCAGCATGATCGCACCAAAGACACCGAACCAGTACGGACCGAAAGCCTCGAGAGCGAGCGGATCAACCATGGGGTACGTATCGCCCTTTTCTATCTCGCGACCCAGTTGGTCGCATAAGTATGCCAGTAGTGTGAGGGGTACTTGATTCGGCGCAGAGAAAGGTATGATCGTTGCGGTAGTCACGCGATCGCGCAGGATGACTTGACATGGTGCAATGCCTACAGGTAGCGGGCCACCGGGAGGAGGGTACGGTACATCGCCAGAGGTCCTATATATCACCGGCGCGGTGGGGTCATCTAGCATGGCGGGCATGGTGGGCGGACTGGTCTACGAGATATTAGCATGGCAATCATAAAATGTTAGCACCCGCATTGGGACCGGGAAGCTGTCGCGACTGCGCGACTCAGCCGCCATGCTGAAGAAGCACAAGGTGTAGACGCGGTATGCGATGACGACGATGGTGTAGGACTTACGCAGGAATGCCTGAGGGACCCTTGGAATGGTCAAGCAGGATGAGAGATACTGCCGTGATGTGGTGCTCGCGGTGCGTGCCCAGAGACATCGGCCGAAGAGTCACTAGCGCCTTTTGGTCCCAGCGGGGCACAGCGCCGTCGCCCACGCAAGCCGGAGCTCGTCATG